CCTAAATGGCAATGTGGGTAGGAAAACAACCCAGAGAAACAGTCAAAATAGCGACTCCAGTTGCAAGACATCCACGTAACTAGGGGTTGATCTAGGGTTAATCCAGGAGTTGATCTGAGGTAAAGAATTGTTTGGGTCTTCTCCCCAAGGGATTGTTGGGTCTGCCGGAGATCCTATGCTCAGACCTCTCTGTGGTGGTTTCTCAGAGCCCTGAAAAACTGCAGCCCACACCTGGGGCTGCAAACTTATGGTTGTGTGGTAGGTTTTGCACTACTCCTCAACCATTCGGTTTCAACAAGCCAAGTGGTAGATTTCAGTGCATTGACCCCAGCTTTTGGATGAGAAACAGCACCACAAATGGTTCGTCTCCAGATAGGAGACCTCAAAATGGCCGCCTTGGTTTCGCTTTTGACGGCAACCCCAGAAGCACAGCGGTACCGCGGTACGGGTCCGGCGCCTCCTGTATCCTTCGCCTCTCCTCCGCCAGCCGCGCCTGCATGCGCGAACTCAAGGGACTGATTCTACCCATATCAAAACCCTTCGGTGGACTTGGTTGGGTTTATGTCCACTCGGTTGCTTTCTGCTCCCGTGCTAAAAGTTTAACTTTTAGTGGTGTAATGGAAAACTCATTCGTTGGCAAAGAGTCAAAGTCCTAACATCTAAGGAAAATGCACCAAAGTACACCAACCATTTGGGAGTACTCCCCATCAAGACTCTATCCACACCAGCGCCCAATATCCGTTGATGTTGGGTTCTGCCAAGATGGCTGTAGAAGGTTTGTACAGCTCTTACTATGACCCCATGAAGCCAAGAATTGAATCACCTACCAAAATGGCCAATGAGGGGCGGGGGCATTTACATGCGCCATGTCTAAATTTTCCTTTGAGGGGTCCAGGCTACCTACCCGAAGGATGTTTTGACCGTGGCAAACGTGGTCACCACGTAAAGGCCCAACGAAGATGAACACAAGAAATCGATGCGGGCCATCAACAGAACCATAAAGGAAGAGCTCCTGTCACAAAGCACGTCTGAGGTCGGTTAGAACCTCCCCTGGGTGCGCATATTTGTTTTTTGATGGTCCCAACTCAACCTCACGGGAGCAAGCCCTGGGCTAGTGGCTCGTCCATTCTTGGACGACTCCTCCTCTCATCTCTCATGGACGGCAACGCTTCAGAAGATCCGGCTGTTCAAAGTTTTGTGGATCAAGAGGTTTGCTCGGGCTGCTGATGTTGCCCAAACTGGTCGACACCACCATGAAGAATTAGCTGACTGTGCAGAATGAATGCGCCGTTCATACTCCCAACATCTAGCATTCCAAAGGAGGCTCTCCCCAAGATGCCTTTGGTCCCTGAACCAATGCCTGGAGTGCCTTCGTATTTGGCAACTCTCTCCAGTTGGCTGCTAACTTTGGGAAAAATAGCTTGCATCAAACAATGTGGTCAAGATAACTTTGGCCTTTGAGATCAGAAACAGAAGGGAGGAGGATGGGTGAAAATGAGTGCTTCCAAGAACTCCAAGCACTCACAAGCCGAACAACATACATCACACGCAAGCAGGGGTGCTTGGGTGGGCGGGGTGGGCGGGGCTGGGTGGGGTGGGTGGGATAAGCGGAGAGTTCTGAACCACTCTCAGGTGTCCTCTGGTTGTTTCCGGACCTGTGGCGACTTTCCGCCCAAATGTACGCGGGGAAGACGAAAGGTCCCCTGTTTTAATTGGTGAGACACCCAGGTGTTTGTGGCCCCGTTTCAAGGCATGCCAACATGAAACGGAACGCGTGGCTCTAACTCAGGGCAGCCTGGCTCGGCTTTAACATGCTTGGCCCCTCTAGAATCTGGACAACCAAATGAAAGGATGATCACTCCAGAAACGGACAACCATGAGCATTCTGCTCAGACAGGTCGTCGAAAACTTGAACTTCCCGCGCCTCCTGCCGCGCTTTTCGCTCGTGCTCCTTGCGCTCCTTCTCTTTCCTAGGTCACGCGAAGGAGAGCAATGCGGCGATCCAGGAGCAGTATCTTTTCGGTGGCCGCCTTTGACCATTTAAGGACGCCTTTTGTGTCGTCGTGCTTCAAAGGTCTGTGCACTTCGCCATGTTCTCAGAAAGCGGTTCAAATTTCATCGACCGCACCCCTGAAAACACCCGCCATTCCCAACCATGGTCAAAACTCCTTGGGTGGGCAAACAATTTTCTATACTGACCACCCCCACCAAGCCCAAGTGCAAGGGTGTCTTGACCAAGGCCTCTACTGCCAGGAAAACTCCAAACATGGGCAGTTTCCCTTTGAACTCCCTTTAAACTTTAAACCCACCTCAGAAAGGGTACCCTTAAAGAAGACACACATGCATTTGTGTCCCCCGACTTTGACCACAAAGAGCTGAGTTAAAGTCGTCCCGAAATCCAGTAAGGACCCTTTTTGGATGGCTAGAGAACAAGGGAGACCAATACTGTTCAATACAACTTCAAGCCTCTTAAACTACTTTGAGCGACATAAGCCCGGCAAAACACGGCCAGGAGCCAAAGGAAAATGAAGCGACGCACCCGTCAATCTCACCTGCTTTGCCAAGGGTCGATTTCCGAAAGACTCAAGGTCACGTGAGCAGCTGACAATATGAGCCGGCCCACAGAAAACCGGTGAGGCAGGCCACCTTGACAGGCATCCTTCTGACCAATCCACCCCTGCAAGCGTCACCGAAATACCGCAAAAGGAACAATTTGAGATCAGATGTAGTTGGTTCACTTGCAATTGGGAAATCAATGGCACTCGGCGCATCCGCGATTATATTTTGCTAGCGAATGGAGATAATTCCATCGGCATCACTGAAAACTGCAAACTCAAAACCCCAATTCTCGATAGACACAGCCCTTCCACAACCACTTGCCCCATCCGTCTCTGCGTTGCTCAATCGACTTTCCCGCCGAGGCAAAGGCTTCTTCCTCTCCTCCTCCTCCCTCCTTCGTTGCTCTTCCAGCTCGCGCTCCCGCTTGGCAAGTTCCTGTCCGGCCAAGAATCTACCATAGACTCGTTACTGATCAATTATATATGTATGTATACTCGGTGGCTTTCTGCTCCCTGTTAAAAGTTTAACTCTCAGTCGTTTAATTCCACGTTTGGCTCCCTGGCCGATCCTGGGTTGCCAGCACCCCGCCATAATGGCAGATGCCGACAAACGCGATGGTTGAGCTTGCTCATCCCAAGTAAACAAGGTCAACTGTCCACTTCTTAGGCTGCACAGTTTGTAGGGCGATTGCTCTCCTCAGTGCAGTGAGACCAAAGATTTCTTGTGAAGGGGGTGTGTCCGAATGCATCAAGGAAGTTCCAAAAGATTCGCACTACCTCATGCGGCAATTATGCCATTTCAGCGGTGTATGAAATGCACGCTCCCACCCCTCGGTCGCGTTTCACTTCTGCCAGCGTGTTCCCTTCCTGAGCCAAACCATCACTCTGGTCTGGCAAATCTTCCAGAATTCTGCATGCTAGCCAAGCACCGCCTTGGCGACCATGTAGTGCTCCCCTCACTCTTTTTGAGGTTCGATTAAAACCCCTGGCCATGGAAGTTTCAGCGGTTGGAGAGGCCACCGCCTTCCAGATGCCAGTCGTAGGCCTCATCCTTTTCCCCGAAACACGGGCCATTGCAGGCCCCGGCCAGCAGCTTCACCGGGCGTGGGAGACCAGAAATGGCTACGGAAAGCAACCTTGCAACTAAAACTCTTACTGGTTTAATGGAAAGTTAAAGTCCTGACATCCAAGCAAAATGCACCAAAGTATACACACCAACGGGGCGCAAAATTGCCAACCAAGAGTTCATCCAGGATTCCATACAAGCAGCTGTTGATTTAGGGAAGCGTCAAGGGATCTACAAAAAGATGCCACAAGCGCAATGGTGCCAGGATTAACCGGAAGTTTCCCAGTGTGGGTGTGTTTTTTTGAAACAACCTGTTTGGGGTTATTCCAGAGAAACACTACAACGACCGCTTTGGGTCTCCTGTTGTAATGTCAAGAGACGGCAAGGTGACGTCCCGTGGGACGCTGTCCACCGAACCCTCCAGCTGTAAATACCAACCACGTAGAAAGGTGTATACGGTCAAACCGTTATAGCCGAACCCGTGCAAATGTTGTAAGGGAGAAGGAATAATAGTTACAACAGTGGTCCTGACAAATGCAGAGCAGGCGAAGTGCTTTCCGCTCTCAATTGCCGATCACGTATGAACGCAGCTTCACATAAGATCTTGAACCTCACTTGTGACTTGAGCCAAATGGCAATCAATGGAACCCTGTCAGCAACACAAACACGGACCTCAGAACTGCTTCCCAATTTAGGCACGGGGCCAGGAGGGTTTTAACATCCCCCATTTGGGTCGCATTGTTCATCATGCGGTCCAAACACCACAAAACGTTCCACTGGCCACGGCTTCAGCTACGAAACTGTGTCAAACACTCTTTCACTCACTATTGCTATACACCGTCCATTCATTGTGAAACTTGCCAGGTCCAATTGAGGCAGAAACATGCATCCGCAAATCGTAGCACGTTCCTATACTCAGATGCAAGAGACATTTTGCCTCTAGCCAATACGCAACCACTTGAAATCCCGGCTGCCGCATTTGCGCATCGCGCAGCCGTCATCCACAGAAGTGGGTTGGCCATAGAAATCCATAGCAGCGCACGGTCATATGCCATCTGAATACCATTGGCAAAGAAGATTTGGCGAGCAATACATGCAAAACATAGCCATTCCAGGTACCATGAATAATATATATAAAGGAAAAGAAATCATCCATGATGTAATAGTTCCATCCATGAATATCCGGAATGTCATAGTCGTCGGAATATGTAAATGTATACACATCCATTCATCTTTGGACGCATGAAATCATATCATGATGTAAAATCGTTCCATCGCAATGACGTCGATGAGACGCAACCAACAGATGGGGACTAGCCCACATCGTGCCGCAATCAACATCTGCATCACGCATACCTGTCTCCAATGGACAGTCT